TACATATGCAATATAAAACATCTTTATTCATATAAAGGTAGTTAATTATGTCTTTGTTTATAGTAAACTTTCATTGACAAACTTATAGTTATAATATTTCTTTTCAAGCTCAAAGATTAGAACGACTCCGAAAAGAGAGACAAAACCAGATCAAATGCAAAAATATTCAGTGGAAAGAAAGAAATTCTAAGCAATCAGGTAAATGGAAATAATTTTAATTGTTGATTTGAGATTTATATATTTAGTTTATATTATTATATTAGAGCTTTTATTTTTAATTCATCCTTTTATATCCTCTGGGCAGATACCTCTGTTTTGAGCTTTGAACTCTTTCACTTGGGTGCCTTGGTCCTCTAAAGCTGGGTGTTCTTTAGATCTTGTCTTTTTGGCCACTCTTCCTTCAGGAATTGATGTGTACAGGCACGTTTTGTACAAACTGTCATGCCAGTGCCTTGTCCTTCGAGCCAAGGAGTACCTGGGATTTGGATGGGCCTCTAGGCAATAGATTACTGCCGGCAGTTCCAGCCTAGACTTTACCTTGCTTCGTTAGTGGCCCCAGTAACAGTCCTTTTTGCATATATGCTAATTCTTTTCCTTTAGCTTAAAAATCATTACGTTGCTGATATTATTAGTATTTGCAATATACGTTCATATCATGTATATATTAACAAACTGGCCATAGTATGTATTTTTAAAGCTTTAATCTCAGCAAGAAGAGAAGATTTTTTAAAAAATTCAAAATAAAATGCTATTAAAATATTTTCTAATGTTTTTATTGTTTCCTAGACTTTCTCTTTTTTCTCCTTTCAAAGAAATAGCTGCAGTCTGTCTTCTGTATCTTCCCAGCTCCTTCCAGTACCACCTTGGCATTTAATATATGTCTGATATATTTTTGTTGACTGACTCCATTGCGCCATAGTATTTATAAAACTAACAATGATTATTACATTAACATCAGAACCTCTCTAGTGCTGTTGTAAGCACTTTAGATGCATTACCTCCAGTGTACCAGTCTTATAAGGTATATGTGTCATTGATTAGAGGAGACAGAGGCTCAGAGAGATTTCACTTGCTAAACTTTCAAGGCCAGGAAGTGGTAGTGCAGTAGAGCCCTGTGTTAATATCTAGCACTGCCAGCATCTAAAAACCAATCTCTTTCTGCTAAACCACACTATGTAAAGTGGTTATTGCTTTCTCCTACTATGATTGTAAACCCAAGTATGCTCAGTGAGTCTGATTTTCTTAATGATTGCTTCTAAATGATGACTATGTAGAACCAGAAATCTCATTCATTTCTTTCTTATACCTCATTTCTATGACTTCCAAATAGTTCTTGAACGTCTTTAATTTTGCTCTTGATACTTTAAAAATCTCTCTTTTTTGTGGATCCAGTTAATACTTTTCTCTGCTATATTTAACACAAACTGAAAAACCTTTATATCATTTATATTGTTCACTTTCTTCAAGTATTTTATATATCTTAATGCTTTTTCAATTAATCTCTTAATGAATACAGAACCAGTTTATCTAAGCCCATCTCCCCAGGTGCCCTTTTTTTTGGTTTTGCCTTCCTCACTTCCTTATCTGAAAATATTACAAATAAATAGGACGAACAGAACACCTCAGATATAATTGCTTCAACTCAAATATAATTACTTCAACTCAAATTTTGATACATCTAGTGATCTAATAATTAGATACATCTAATACATTTTGCTACATCTCCCACTCACTCCTTAAAGTCTAATGGACTTTAACTTCTGTTCAGTGTTTCATAGAATGTACTGGAGAAATAAGCAGTTCCCTTCTTGCTTTCATTTGTAACTATACCATCCTTTATATATGTATACTCCTCTCTCCCTCAGTTTCCTTTCCTCTTATTTTTCTCTCTCACTGATTTCAGTAATTGACCTCATGATCTTATTTCTGAAAAAGCTCCTTAATATGCCTGTCCATGCTTTGAAATGTTGACCTTGATTCTGGCTAGACTAGTAACTTCTGACGGTTAGAGTGAACCTTATCAACACACAAAGGAATGTCTTTGAATCTGTTGAGCTGGATTCCAGCACTAGCACAGCTCGGCACTCTGGGTATCCTGAAACGTGTCAGACAAATGGAATCAGCAGTCTGCCTGGCAAACGAAGCAGCCATTCTATTTTCATACATCTCTCAAACGTATATTCTCTTTTGACGAGAAATGCCATGGCCAAATCCTTTTGATCTTAATTGAGAAATTTGTTTAGGTAGTCATTTTTTCATTCCCTCGTTCTTTTTCTGCTCTTTATGTTTGTTAAAAATCCTTTCATTTATTTTTCTGATCTTTTTTAAAATTTTATTCCCCACTGGAAGAATCACCATTGTGAATATGATTACCTCCACTGGGATGTTCTTATTCCACAATTATTCTAAATCCAGTCCATCCTTTAAGACACAGCATAAATGCAGCCTTTTTATAGAGAAGTTGGAAGGGATTGTAGAAGCCATCTGGTTCATACCCCGAAGTTCTTTATGAACCTCCTGATTCATATGCTATGAGACCACGTGATAAATGAAATATTTTAGAGTAAGATTCTTTTATTTCTGTAACCAAAAATGCATGGATAAATGTAAAGGCGGTCATCGGAAGACAGCTTTGTCAGGAATAGCGTCAAATCAAAGTCCCAGTATTTTTAGTTTTATTGTTTTAAAATGATGTTGTATATTCTTTACAAAATTACCTATGACTTATTCATTCTGTGCGCATAGTAATTCTATGCTAGGTGCTAGGAGGAATACATGTTTCCTGTTCTCAAGAAGTTTGAAGTCTAATTGGAAAATAAGGCTATTTACACATGAAGTTGAATAATAACTCAAAACAATAATGTAGTTTTTATTAGTTATTTATGAATATTCCTGAAGTTTTCTTTATATAACTTCTGTTATTGGTTCTTAAAACAACAGTTCCCAGATACAGTGACTGTATAAAATCAGAAATGCATCCAAAATGCATGTTATAATGACATTCTGTATAAATTTCTAGACCCTACTTAGGGAATTTTCGATTCAGTGGTAAAGGTTGGGGTCAGTAAATCTATATTTTTCAGAAGCTCGCTGGGTGATTCTGATGAGTAACCAGCTCGGAGGACTGCTGGTATGTAACATGCCAGCCACTGAGTTTGCTTCATCTTCATACAAGTCCAAAAAGTTAGCTGTTAATATTTCTATACTATAGGTGAGAAAACTGGAGCCCAGAGGCCAAGCAACTTTTCCAAATCCCTTACTTAAAAGTAGTCAATGTCAAAGCCAGAATTCTTCTCCCGACCAGTCCAACCCCAGAGACTAGTCTTTCCATTCTGTTTCATTCTCTCCCATGCTGCAGGCAAAGGGAGCTCTGGGCGTTGAGGAGTCTGGCGTTCCCTGTTCCTTTTCATCTCTGTGTGTCAGCCATGGCCAGTGCTCAGGAAAGTTGCCAAAGCCTCTATATTAAAAATTATTACAGAAAAATCTGAAAAAAAATATAAAAATGAAAATAAGCTACCATTAATCTCACATTTAAATGAACTGCTGTTGTTAACATTTTGATGTATTTATTCAGATTCTATATGTATGGATATATATAGTTTAAATATTCTAATCATACCCCCTGTGATTTTTTTAGTGTTTTTTGTGTATGTAGATATTACATAAATGCAATGCTTGGTATTGTCTCCATATTGTTCCTGCACTTTTACATTTCTTATTAAGGTTATTTCTAGAAGTTTTGTATTTTGTGCTACCCTTATAAATAGCATCCTCTTTCCCATAACTTTCTTACTGCTCTTATAAGGAAATCTATTGTTTTTACATTGTTTTGTTTCCAGCCACTCACTAGTTCTAAAGTACATGCTCATTTTTCTGAATATTATAGTATGTGCTTTCTCATGAATCTGATAATTAACTTTCTAGGCTATTTTTCAGTTTTGTGTTTGTTAGGGACTTTCAACTGTTTATATTGGTTAGTTATATTTGTAACTTTTCAGTTACAAGTAACAAAGAGCAAGTGCACTTGAAGTTGAACAGCTCATAAAAGTATAGTCGTGCCTTACAAATGGCTTGGGATTAGGAGGGAGCTCTCTAATGACCTTCCCCATCTCACCTCTGCTGCTTTGTGCCCATCAGCTCTCTCCCTCCTCCCGATCTGCTACCTATCCCCACAACCGTTTCTGCTTCTCTGGTCCAGAGGGATTCCTTCCACAAGTATTTATGAAGCTCCTACAGTATGCAAGGGCAACTAGGCACTATTGTAGGTCTAGAAGATAAAGCAGTGAACAAGACAAAGTCCCTGTCCTCAGGGAAAGCTTGCAGGAGAGATAATAAACAAACATAGCCTGTCAGAAAGAGTTAAGTGGCACAGAGTAAAATATAGCCAGGTAAGGGCTTAAGGAATCCTAGGCAGGCGATTTGGCTGTTTTATATAGAATGATCAGGGAAGGCCTATTGAGGAGGTGATGGCTAAGCAGAGATCTGAAGGAAGTGAAGGAGTGAGCCGGGCAGATATTGGGAGATGAGTGTTCTAAGGCGAGAGAACAGCAAGTGAAAAGGTTCTGTGCCGGAAGTGTGCCCGCGGTGTTTAAGGAATAGCAAGGAAGGATGCTTATTGGTTAGAGTAGAGAAAGTAAGGGACAGAGTGGGATCAGAGGAGTAAGTAGTGGGAGACCTGATCGTGGAGGATCTTATAAGGAATTTAATTTTTACTCTGGGTGATATGATCGGATCAGATACTCATGTGATATGTTACTTACTTTTTTACTTCTGACTTAAATTTTCTTTAAAATAACTTTTATTTTAGGAAATTTCAAACATACACAGAAGTGAGAAGGGCATAATGAACCCCCTCACAGCTGTCACCCGGCTTTAGCAGTTAACATACGGCTGGTCTTGTGTCATTTATATATTCACCTCCCTTCCCAGATTATTTTTAAGCAAATGCCAGCTATTGTATAATTTCATACTTAAATACTTATGTATTTTTTAACACATAAGAAAACTGCAATACCACTACTCTCCAGATGATTAGCAGGAATTCTTTAATATTACCAAACATTTCCTTGATTGTTTCAGATTTTTTTTTTCCAGTTCCTTTGCTCAGGGCTAGATCTAATGTCCATGCATTACTTTTGGTTACATGTCTCATTTCCCTTTTAATCTATAGATGCTCCTTCACTATTTTCCCTTGTAAT